CTTCGAGGATTGTGGGATGAGATTCAATTGGCCCTCCTTACTCCTCGTTGCACTTGTGATAAATGTGGTTGTGGTTTGGAAAAATCATTTGTTGAATTGAAGGAGAAAGAAAGTTTATATGAGTTTCTCATGGGCCTTGATAGTGAGTTCTCGATTGTAAGAACTCAAATACTGGCTTTGAAACCGACACCGTCTCTTGGATTTGCTTATCATCTTGTTGTTGAAGATGAACAACAAAGGTCCATCACCAACACCAAGAGACCCACTTTTGAAGCAATAGCTTTCCAAGCCTATACCAAGACCAATACCAATCAACATGGAAACAAGGCAGTGAAGAAAATCACAAAGCAAGGAGAACATTGTAGCTTATGTGACAATGACGGTCACACCCGTGACGGGTGCTTCAAGCGAATTGGCTATCCAGATTTGTGGCGAGGAAAGAACAAACAAGACAAAGGGAAACCAAGGGTTGCTTGTGCAGAAATTGAATCAAGCCCAATAGAAGATTTAACTAAAGATCAATATCAACAATCCCTGAAGAACTTCACACCAGAAGAGTCCAAAAACAAGAATGATGCATCACCAGCAGCCACCATGGCAAGTAAAACAAGTCTAATTGACTCTTGGATTGTTAATACAGGAGCCACCGAACACATGACCAATAGAACCAGTATTCTTGAGAATGTAATTCCTACCATCAATGAGGATCCTGTGATCATACCTAATGGAGAATTCATTTCTGTCAAGGGAAGAGGAAATCACACTCTATCTAACGGGAAGTGAAAGATGATTTGCACATTCCTGATTTTAATTGAAATTTGTTATCAGTTAGCAAACTTAATGATTTAAAGTGTGTTGTATGTTTCTTTCTGGATTTCTTTGTCATGCAGGACCTAACTTCGAGGAGTTTGATTGGAGCGGGTAAATGCAAGAATCGTCTATATTGGATGGGAATGCTTGGAATGAAGATGAAGGCTTTGATGTCGAAAGCTGATATATGGAACAAGAGGTTGGGGCATGTTGGTGAAGAAAAGTTGAACAAAATAAGTTTTCTTAGGAACATTTCTTTTAAGAATAAGGAGCATGTTTATGATTCTTGTGCTAAATCTAAACATATGGGGTAAATATCGAACCCCTTCTTGTAACATCCCCCTCTATCACGTATCATAATATTGTCCGCTTTGGGCTCGCGGCACAAAAACTTCCCAGGGGTCACCCACCCCTAAATTGTTCTCGTACGGGTACGCTTAACTGCAGAGTTCTTATGGGATCTGCTGCTCTCACAACTTTAAAACGCTTTGTGACAATGAAGGTATCCATACACCTTATAAGTAAATGTTTCGTTCTCCTTCCAAACTGATTTCAGATCAGGTGCAACCCACCTTCACCCCAACCCTCATTATAGGGTTCGACGTCCTCGTCGAACACATCGACCCGTGACCCAGCTCTGATACCATTTGTAACAACCCCCCTGGGAAGTTCTCGTGCCGAGTGGCCCAAAGTCGACAATATTGTAATACATGCCAGAGGGGGTTGTTACACTTCTTTTTCAAAGGCAAGTTATTTTTTGACAATTGTCGACGATTGTAGTAGAGTTGCTTAGGTTTTTCTTCTTAAACACAAACATGAGGCTAGTGCATGCTTGATTGATTTTCATAAGATGGTCAAAACTCAATTTGACAAGAATGTTAAAAGAATAAGGTGTGACAACGGTGGTGAATTCACGTCAAATAAGATGGTGAGTTTTTATGCCGATAATGGAATTCTCCTAGAAACTACTTGTCCACATCCCCCACAACAAAACGGGGTTGTGGAACGGAAGCACATACACTTACTTGAAGTTGATCGGGCTTTAAAGGTTGAGGAAAATCTTCCGACAAGGTTATGGGGTGAGTGCATATTGACGACCACTTATGTCATAAATAGTTTTCCTTCGAAAGTGATAGAAGATAAAACACCATACAAGTTGTTATATGGTCATAAACCAATTTATGATCACGTGAGGGTTTTTGGATGTTTGGTTTACTATCGTAACACAAAAACAAAAGGTGATAAATTCAAAATAAGAGGAAGACCAAGAGTGTTTGTGGGTTATCCACATGGAACAAGAGGTTACAAAGTCTATGACCCAAGCCACAACAAAATTAATGTTTCAAGGGATTTCAAGTTTGCTGAAAATGCTTTTCCTTTTCGTACCACTGTGAATGCAAATGAAGAAGAACGTAACAGTGAGATATAGGTTCCCTATGATGTTGGAGAAATATGGATTGATCCAAGCGAAAAGAATGATGAGTCAGTCAATGAAGAAGGATCAAGATGATCCATCAGTTGACTTCACAAATGAATAAGAAAGACAAACTGGGGAGGAAATCAATATTGAAAGTGAAGATGAGGATGTCAAAACCAACCAAAATCCTTGTGTTAATGAAGGAGATGTAAATCTTGACCAAGTAAGAGAAAAGAGAAATAGGTCAAGACACAAGCACTTGGAAGATTACGATGTGAAGCTCCCTCAATTTATAGACCATTCACAACCTGCTCCAAGTCAAGAACACTCCACGGTATATCCCTTGGCCAATTTTGTTTCTTATGAAAAGTTTTCAAAATCTCACAAAGCCTTTTTGGTGTCCATCACTTCCAATGATGAGCCAAAGTCTTTCAATCAAGTTGTGCAGGACCAAATTAGAGAGTTGCAATACAAAGGGAAATAATAAATTTAGAGGAAAATAAAACATGGTCCATTGTAGAATTACCAAGTGGAAAGAAACCTACTGATTCAAATTGGATTTACAAGATAAAGTACAATGCAAATTGTGAGATAGAAAAGTACAAGGCCCAACTTGTAGCAAAAGGTTTCACCCAAATGGAAGGAGTCGATTATCATGACACTTTTGCATCGGTCGCAAAGTTGGTTACTTTAAGGACTCTCCTTGTTTTTGTTCTTAAAAGAGATTGTACCATCCACCAATTAGATGTTAACAACGCATTCTTACATGGTGAGCTTAACGAGTAGGTTTACATGAAGATACCGAGGGTTACGAGAAAAGGGGAGTAACCAAATAATGCAAGTTAAAGAAGTCACTTTATGGTTTGAAACAAGCTTCAAGAAGCTGGTACCAGAAACTTACATCGGTACTGACTCAACTCAAGTTTGAAAAATATCATGCATATCATTCTCTCTTCATATACAAACAAGGCAAAGTCTTCATTTCAATCCTTGTATATGTTGATGACATTATTATCGTGGGAAATGACCTGCATAAAATTGAAGAAGCCATGGTTTTCCTTGACACGCAATTCAGCATAAAGGATCTTGGACCTTTGAAATATTTTCTTGGTATAAAGGTGGCTCGCACAAAGGATAGCTTAGTTTTGAGTCAAAGAAAATATATTTTAGACATTCTTGAAGAGACCGAAATGTTGGGATGTAAACTATGTTCCTTCTCGATGGAACAAAACTTGAGACTTGACAAAGAAAATGAAGAACCACGAGTCGATACAAGTAAATATCATCGATTAGTTGGTAAGTTATTGTATCTACAAGTTACTAGACTTGATCTCACATATGTCGCGAATGTTTTAAGTCAAAGAAGGAACATGTAAAGTGGGGGACTTGGTCCTATGAAAAAATGAAGCTAGTAGACAAGAACACATTGGAAAATTAAACCTGAACTGGGAAGGGCCGTATCAATTTGTGGGGGCTAGACAAAATAGTTCATATGTTCTAGAGAAACATGGACAGAGTCTGGTTGCCAAGATCATGGAATATGCGAAATTTGTGCATATTCTACTTTTGAAGCAAAAACGAATAAGCAAACTTAGAAATTGGAGACAGGTAGAGAGCTCAGTACCATTAAGGAACGGTCGTATTTTGTATGTAACATGACTATACTCTTGAATGAAATATCTCACACTTTTGCTTGCCATATCATAACTTGAATTATGTTTCAGTAGAAATTTTAACATAGGTATGATCTGCCACATCATACCTCGATGATGTACATATATAGCTCGAACTATAAGTTTGCAACTTATAGTTCCAGATAAATTTTAACATCGGTATGATTCACCACATCATACCTCGATGATGTACATATATACCTCGACTATAAGTTTGTAACTTATAGTTCTGTATAAATTTTAACATCGTTATGATCTGCCACATAATACCTCGATGATGTACATATATACCTCGAACTATAAGTTTGCAACTTATAGTTCCATATAAATTTTAACATCAGGATGATCCACCACATCATACGTTGATGATGTACATATATACCTCGAACTATAAGTTTGTAACTTATAGTTAAGTATAAATTTTAACATCGGTATGATCTGCCACATCATACATCGATGATGTACATATTTACCTCGAACTATAAGTTAAAAACTTATAGTTTAGTATAAATTTTAACATCGGTATGATCCCCCACATCATATCTCGATGATGTACATATATACCTCGAATTATAAGTTTTTAACTTATAGTTCAGCATAAATTTTAATGTCGCTATGATCTGCCACATCATACCTCGATGATATACATACATATCTTGAACCATAAATGCGTAATTCGTTGATATTAATTAAAGCTAAAAAGTTCGAAATAAGGGAGTCGGTACCATGATTACACATTGACTATGGGGACAAAATAGAATTACCTAACTGGTATTAGACTTACCATGAACATATGTCTAATCAACATATGTTCAGTCTAAGTGAAAAGTTCATAACTTGTCACTTAGGAGGTAATACCACAAGGATAAAGTCTAAGTCTTCACAGTCAAAAATTATTTCAAATCTAACGGCTAAATGACACACAAAAGTTGAAGTAGGTAGAAGGCATCCACTTTGAGTGCAAACTTTAAATAGTTACATAACTTAGCTAGTACATGCACATATACATCCACATAAAATTACAAAAAAATAAATAAATAAATAAATAAAAATCGAGACAAACTGCAAACGAAAGGAAAAGATACATGACAATTTGCATGCTAAACACTACCAGAAGCACCATTGGGATTCGAAGTGGGGTCCAAAACTCCCAACTTTTCCTTCAAAATACCGAGGTCAACAACAACTCCTTCTAAAATCCCGAACAGGTAATACATGTGGGTGATCATGCTCGAGAACTGATCCAACACTTGATGTTGCACATTGGGATACAAATAAATGACATTTTTCCTTTCCAAAGCATTAACGTATTTCTCCTTCATTTCCATACATGTCTGGTGAAGACCAAGCTGAATAGCAGTTGTCTGTACTGCAACATTGAGATCTGCGAAGTCTGCAGAGTTCAATAAAGCATGAACAAAGGATGGAATGATCTCCTGCACCAACCATCGAAGCTCAGAGGCTCTGATCGCGGCTGCCGAGGTCAAGTGAGATTCATTTTCAAGAAGGGAGGTACGAGTCTAATTCACTTGAAGGATTTAATCATCCATATCAGCAAGAAGCCCATCCTGAGCAGCAAGTTCTTCTAACATCTTAATATGCACATCCTTGTCAGAGCAGGAGATCTCCATCTCAGAGAGTTTCTTAGTAAATCGAAGCTTTAGAGACTCAAACTATTGATTCTTCTCCTCCAGCTCTTTGGAGAGAACCGAATGACGATCAAAAGCATCATCTGCTTTAATCTGAAGATCTTCATTCAAATTCTTCAGCTCATTTTGGCAGCAGATACTTTCACTCAGATCGTTCACAAGAAGAACATTTCTTTCAAAAATACCTTTCACCCTTTCCCGAAGTTCTTGTACTTTATGTTTAGTTCGTTCATGAATCTTGCCAAGCTCCTTTAACTATCGTAGGCCCTCCTCAAGCTTAACCTGACGTTTGGCAAGAAGCTTTATATAGATGGGAACGGGCTTTGTCAAGGGTTTCTTAATCAGAAGCACTCGCCAGTCTAGGACTTATAGGAACGGTAGTGATAGTGAAGGGGTGTTGAAACAAAGGAAGTGAAGCAGTAAGACTAACCAAAGTAGGAATCGAAGCTTCCTTACTAGAATATGGGATCACTACGATAAACAAACAAAGAAGAAAAAAAGAACAAGACTTGATAAGTTGGATCACAAGCAGGTATTTATACATAAAAAATAGTGAAATTAACTTATGATCTATGCTAGACAAAGGAGGATTCGATTCGGTAGAAGGTTCAGCAGGAAAAGTGTTTATAAGCATCAATGAAGACCTAGGGGTATCAGATTCCAAGTTCAAAGGATTCATAATCACAATGGTAGCTTCTACAATACTGGCCTGAAAACGACCAAGCCCAACCCCAAATAATTTATGGCGAAAAACCTCAGCAGTAGACAAAGAAGAGGTAACAGAATCTCTTGACAAAGGTTGAGATACCTCTGTGACAATCAGACCCACAGATAAAACAACATATAGAAGGGGGATTTCCATTTGACTTGAGGAAGTGGAAAAAACATCAGTGGAAGGAACATCAGATTCCGATAAGGGGATATTATCCTCGGCATGTTTTAGCACAGGGTCGGTGATCACAGGGCAGTCATGAAGAGCAGAGGATGGTTGGGTCCCTAATGGGTCATCAGACTCAATCGGTGTAGGGGGCACAGGATGTCGGATCCTCTGAATTCTTGCAACTTCAGTCCAAAGCACAAAATACCTATTTCGTTTTAGAGGGGAGGTCGTGGTCGATGGATCAGGACGACTCATTACACCCTCCAAAGAAACAAATCTTTCAAATCCAATTTTCCTTTTTCATAGACCTCTTGCGGTATCCTTAGTAGAGGAGGACTAAGGTTTCCCCTTGCCCGACTCTGCCTTGACATTTTTCTTCATCAGAGAAGAAACGAGTGACACTAAAGCTTCTAAAGATGGAGGATTCATGGTGGAATCCATGCTCGATTCGAAGAGAGAATGGGAGTCTAGTACAACAACCTCTTTAACAACTACAAGGGAATCTGATAATCGTTTCTTATGCAAACAATCTATCAGAGTTACTTCTTGACCGACCATAGTTTCAATCGGTTTCTTACCTAATCTTTTCCAAAGAGGACTCAAGTCAGCCATGCCTAAGGTTACTTCATCTGGATCCGCCCATTTAACGTAATTCTAAGCCATACGGTCAACATTTTCTCGCTCAATGGATAATTCGGGTGGAGCATTGAGACCTCTATCGGAAGTGGCCCCATATGCCATGGGGCTAGAGAAAGCAGAAGTGTCAACAAAGAAAAACTCCACGTTCCACCATTTAACAGAAGTAGGAAGCCCATAATAGAGTTCTACCAAGCCATGGCGAAGGGAAAAGGAAACCCAGTCGCCATTAGACACGGTAATATAGAAATGACGAAACAGAGTTACAGAGGGAGGGATATTTAAAGCAGAACACAAGAGCATGAAACAAATCAACTTTCAAAAACCGTTCAGATAAATTTGAGCGATATGCAGTTGGTAATAATCAAGAATCGCTTCTAGAAAATCAGGGGCTGGGAGGCGAAGCCGTGATTTGAAGTAAACTCTGTACACTTCAATGAAACTAGTCGATGCATCAACGATGGCATGTCCAGACTTTGGAAGGCGAGGATGAAATTGGGGATCAATGTGGTATTTTTTTTTTCAAGAGGGCAGCCAAACTCTTAACGGAAAGTTTAGATCATACGGTCTCAATGCTATAGATATCTTTGCTAGCCATGAGAAAAGAGAAAAGAAGACAAATAAAATTGGGGGAAAAGTTCGAATGAAAGAAACTGAAATAGAGCAAAGTAGTATTTATAAGGGAATGGAAGATAGAATGATAATAGGGGAGAAAAAAAATGGAAGTTATGCATTGTACACCTCTTAAATGGAAAAAACGAAAGGACAATTATAGGCAATGATGGTTTTTAGAAGTTGTCAAACCATCTCATAAGAATTCAATTCAGTTGCTTGGTCTTATCTATTTATAACAGTCTGCATTGAAAACCTCATTAGTTTGAATTATCACTTACAACGACAAGTAATAATCCAAACCGGGTTGGTGGGGACGGGGAACTAAATAGGCTATAGGGTTAGTCCATTGTTCCTATACCCCCACAATGACCGAACTGTCAAACCTTGCGTAACCCCCGAGCTATGTGAAAACCTTGAACCACATTTGATACCTGACCAAGCCTAAAGCAACGAACTTAGGCAAAAGGGCTGACAAAGGAACAAGGCGATGTTTTCATAGTACACAAAGTACATGGGAACTCAAAGAAACAGGAACAACTGTGTAAGAATGATTGATTGAACCTTGTAGAGTTGTATAATGGTTTCCGAGTGTTCTTATTCGTACCTTTGGGGGTACGGCCATAGATGTGACAAGACCTCAAACCAGTTCAGTAGGAAGAAGGGTCGGGATGTTTTCTACTCCAACTATAAATGGGGTATTTGACGCACCCCTGCGAGGTACGTTAAGAACCACTATCTTACTCCAATTTAAGATACGTTTTAGCAACCCTATAAGGGTCTCAACTAACTTAATCATCGGAGCGTTGCCCCGGGACCTCTTCCCGGACAACGAGCTCACAAGTTTGTGAATTTTTCTAGGTAATCCATTGTTACAGGAAGGTACTCGGCTCTGATAATATGGAGGAAGAACCCTAGAGACACATCAGTTGACAACATTAAATGAAATTCACACAAGTCCAAATCTATATTAAGTCAAAATCATAACCCTAAAACTTGGCTTGAAATTTTTCATTTGATTCTTTAGCTTAAATATACTTTCTAAATATGGTTAGAACTAACATCCATTCATAAGAGAATGTTCAAAACTCATATTCCACTATTGATTTGAAGTCTTAAAATATCATGTAAACTCAAAATCAAATCATAAGTGAGTAATTTCACTTTATATTAACAAACAAATAAAAAAGTGGAAAATCTACTTGAACTTCATAATCAAGCAACAAGTTTGGATTTGGGGAAATCGTAAACCCTAGATCCAACTTAGAAGAAAGAGAAATAAAATTATACATTCTAAATACTCAAGGAGGTGATTCTAGCTTCTAATCTTCATATATTCTTCAAATCCCCGTCTAATTCATCCTCTACCCCAAGAGATAACCTTATCCATCTTCTTTAATCCCCAATTTTGTTTTTCTCTACTAAATGGAGAAGATGAAGCTTAAACCACAAGTTTGGTCATTTTAAGAACTTTAACCCCTTATTTTCTTTTTTCCTAAAAATTAGAAATTATATTCCTTCTAGTTTAAATCTTCTTTTAAGCCTTATGTTTGATCTTCTAATCATTCTTAATCATGTTAAAACTTACTAATAGTTAATTTTTTCACTTGTTGTTTTATTTATTTACTTTAAAATTTTATTTATATGATGTATTTATTATTTATTTTATTCTAGATTAAAAATTATACCAAAAAATGATTAAAAAAAAATGTAAGTCTAAAATAAGGGTGTTACATAATTGGAGTACATGTTGGCATAAACACTTGACAAGGTCGTAGTACTTTACTGTGTAAAATGGCCATCTAGGTTGTATGACTTTGCAACGATGGTCATAAATATGTATCCCTTACTATCCAAAATTCTCAAACTTTATGCTTCATTGTATATGATTTTGAAAATTTTCTCATATGTCATTTCTTGGCATTATCTCAAATACCACAGGTTAGATAATACCACAAGTTCTCCATACAACATTGTACAACTTTTATAATTTCCCTCAATGGCATACCAATTGTCTTCCAAGTCATTGTTCTAATATAGAAGGGTAAATTACACCATTCGTCCCTCGTGCACATGCCAGAAAGCGTGTTTAGTCCCTATTTTCAAAAATTAACTCCGACCGTCCCTCTATTCGTTTTTCCTTACACGCTTAGTCCCTATTGACATGAAATGACTTTTTTACCCTTAATAATTTATTTTTTTCATTTTATTTGTTTATTTATCAGTTTTAAATTAAAAATAAAAATAAAAAAATATCCTTACCCATCTATTTTAATTTCCCCTTCTCTAAGATTTTCCATAAACCACCACATATAACCGCTGGCACCTTCAACATCACCACCTACTGCCAGCACCTCCAGCAGCAACGCTTATCACCGCCAGCACCTCCGCATCACCACCTATCACCCCACCATCTCAGTAGGTCCTACCACCTCACATACTCTCCTTCTTTTCACCCTCTGTTTTCGTCTCTTATTCTGTCACCAACACCTCTTACCTATTCCCACAATACCACCGTATACATATTCCAACACCAACAATCACCTCTAGACCACAATCCATTAATCTATCTTACATTTTATTTGAAAGCCTATCAGATTTGAACCTAGAGCTTCGTTAATATGGTGGTCTGGTAGCTTCACATGAGTTCTAGCCCTAGAGCTCCACTAAACGCATACATATCAAAATTGGTGCTGAGATCCACAACATAAATTCCAAAATTGAAATCAATGATGAGAGAAAAAAAATAGATAACCATCCCCTGCATCTTTATGAGTTTGAAGCCTAGGAATTGAAAAAACAAACAAAAAAGAAAGAAAGAAACTACGTTCAGATTGTATCGTATCTGAAAGATCTGCACTTGGTGCCGATTTGAACAAATTTAAAAGGGTCTTCAGCCCCTCTTCCTTCTATAACCATATCACTGGAGATACTGGTTGCCTCTGCCTCCGATTCGAACAACGAAGAAGGAAAGAGTCTTAACGGTTCTTGATTGAGACCGGAGAAGAAAGAGATAACGATCGACGGTTCTTCATTTGGGGTGTCTTGATGCTCGTCGGAAGGGATGAAATTGTTGAGGTGATGTTCCTCGACAGAAAGATGAATCCGATGAACTGATGGTGGATTTTAGTAACCTGGAAACGACAAATGAGGTAAAAGGAATGTAGAAGGAAAGGGGGAAAGGAAACGGGGAGGCTGGGTCAGGGTATTTAACTTTTTTTAATATAAAATAATTTATGATTTATGTAATAATAAAATTATAAGGGCAATATAGTCATTTTATAGTTGGAAAGGGATGCAACGTGCAAATTTAAATTAATGAGGGACGAAGCGTGCAAATTTTAAAATAATAAGGGACGGTCCGAGTTAATTTTTGAAAATAGGAACTAAACACGTTTTCTGGTATGTGCACGAGGGACGAATGGTGTAATTTACCCAATATAGAATGGTACACCCTTATAGTAAGGATTTCCAAGGTGGTAGCAAATTCGTACGAGTTTGTCATTAGATTGGTAATGTTGTTTTGTTTTGACAAAACTGTTGCCCAATTCGCAAACTAACACAACTTAAAAAAATAATAATAATAATTAAATAAACTCCATTATTCCATAACTCTAGTCTCGACTGATAGGTCTTAGGAAATAGGTTTATAGTTGTCTCAATGACTAAATAGAATTGTCAAAGTGTTTTCCAGTACTATTAACATCTAAATCAATCCACACACATCAAAACAACATCGTTCAACGTCTATATAGGATCATGATTGAGAGATTTCTATCATTAAGGTTTTAGAGAAATAATACCTTACATCCACGTCGATGTTTTTCATTCTGTAACTGCACATATATAGATTCCTACAATTATCTCATGCATTTCAAAAGGATCAACCGCTTTGGTTTATGGAATTTTATAGGAATTTTATAAGAATTAGAATTGAATTCTGAAAAATTTCCGTGTTTGGTTTCAAAACATAAAGAATTAAATTCCAGTGAAATCCAATAAAAATACCTCAAACTAAGGTTTTTTAAAACCTTGGAAATCAATTCCATATTTTTATTTACTGTCTTATTACTTATATTATCCTACATATCATATTTTTCATTAGTTACTCTCTCGACCCCACCTTTAACACCTATGCCTTCTAGCTCTCACGACACGACCCCACCTGGGTGTTTCACAATTCTTAAATTTCAACTCTCAATGCTTGGTTTTGGTGAAAAATAAAATACAATATGGGATTTGATATTTTGATATTGCTTACTGACATGTGTTCTTCATTTCTCAATTTGGATCTTTTGATTTTTTCTTTCTGAAAATAAAATGTAATATTATATTTGACCTTTTGATCATGTTTCTTGATCTGATTGGACTTCAATTCCCAATTGTCAAAGCTTAAATTCTTTGTCTTTGAGAAGTCACCATTACCCTAAAAAAATTATAATCTATTTTGTATTTAGAAGTGGTTTCTAAAAAGATAGTAAACAATGAACTAATAATAAAAGTTTAAAACTGAAATTTTGTATTGAAAGTATTCAAAATTTTAAATAAGGAGTTAATAAAGGACAGGTTTGTAATTTAATTCAAATTGATTAAATGAATAAATTCCACGAACTGAATTCCATCTCACTTGTTTGAACCAAACACACGATATGATTTCGATTCCGTTAAATTCCAATTTCTTTGTTAGAATC